GGTCTGACGGTCCAAAAACCCTTCCTTGTGGAAGTCCCAAAACGTTTAGACGTATTGTATCGCTGCTGTCTTTTTTGTGACAAATATACAGGGTGTTCCAGATAGACCTTCAATTAGACGTTTCTGGAAAACTACGCGTACTGGAATTCTGAAAATTTATGTACGGGGGTTTCTCCTAATGTTCTATCGATTGAAAATATTGGCGTCGCCGTGGAACTTCCGGTTCTACCGGAAGTAGACGTCAACTCGCTTATTTCAAATGGAATGTACTATTTTTTATTTAATTTTTGGATTCTACATCGAATTTTAAGGTAAGTTTCATAACCTTACTTTATCCTTAAACTCAATAGTTTTTGAAATATTTTGACTTTTTCAAAATTTTTGAAAAAAACATACCTACACTTAATCGGTTCTATCTCCTCCAATTTTTAAGATAGGAAGCTGAAATTTTAGATGGTCAATACCAAAACGTGTCCAAATATCTGGAATATTCGAAAGTTGGTGCATGTTACACAGGGCGTCTAAAAAACACGGACCAATTGTGTCAAATTGAAAGTTTAATAACTCGCTTATTTTAAATAGAACACCCTGTGTTTTATAATGCCAGTAGATGCACCTGTTAATTCTCTTTCCATTGGTATAAGCATTCCCTATACCTAAATCCCACCGATTTTGAGATATTTGAACATAAGTACAGAGACGAATATAATCCGACAGTTAGCTGTAGGTTGGCTGTGGAAAAACATTTAAATGTCACCAAGTGTCATTACTTATTTAGCAGATTTGCTGTCATTGCTGTAAAGCGAGTTTGTCGATTTTCCAAGTGTTTTCAATAACAATGGCACACTCTGGGTACACAGACGACGACTTTTTAAATTTAATTATCATTTACGGGGAGTGTAATAGAATTGTTAGTAGAACATGTCGCGTGTTTGCAGAAAGATATCCAAATAAGCACAGACCAAGTCATGATATGGTCAGAAGACTATTAAAGAATTGTTCTGAGAATGGAAAGTTTCTCCCGAAACATGATAAAAGTAAGACATCAGTGGACAACGAAGAAAATGAAGTAAATGTATTGGCATTTTTCACCGCTTATCCACAGGCGTCAATTAGAGATGCATAATAAATTCACGTCTATCAATAGGAACTATTCACAGAATTCTGAAGAAGCATAAATGGAAGCCATTTTCATTTATGTTAATACACCATTTGCAACCTGACGATTTACCCCGACGTGTAGTCGTCGTGTGTGTACCCAGAGTGTGCCATTGTTATTGAAAACACTTGGAAAATCGACAAACTCGCTTTACAGCAATGACAGCAAATCTGCTAAATAAGTAATGACACTTGGTGACATTTAAATGTTTTTCCACAGCCAACCTACAGCTAACTGTCGGATTATATTCGTCTCTGTACTTATGTTCAAATATCTCAAAATCGGTGGGATTTAGGTATAGGGAATGCTTATACCAATGGAAAGAGAATTAACAGGTGCATCTACTGGCATTATAAAACACAGGGTGTTCTATTTAAAATAAGCGAGTTATTAAACTTTCAATTTGACACAATTGGTCCGTGTTTTTTAGACGCCCTGTGTAACATGCACCAACTTTCGAATATTCCAGATATTTGGACACGTTTTGGTATTGACCATCTAAAATTTCAGCTTCCTATCTTAAAAATTGGAGGAGATAGAACCGATTAAGTGTAGGTATGTTTTTTTCAAAAATTTTGAAAAAGTCAAAATATTTCAAAAACTATTGAGTTTAAGGATAAAGTAAGGTTATGAAACTTACCTTAAAATTCGATGTAGAATCCAAAAATTAAATAAAAAATAGTACATTCCATTTGAAATAAGCGAGTTGATGTCTACTTCCGGTAGAACCGGAAGTTCCACGGCGACGCCAGTATTTTCAATCGATAGAACATTAGGAAAAACCCCCGTACATAAATTTTCAGAATTCCAGTACGCGTAGTTTTCCAGAAACGTCTAATTGAAGGTCTATCTGGAACACCCTGTATGTTGGTTTTTTATTCGTGTTGTTACCTTTTTTCACAAACGGTGTGAATAGTGAGATCGTGTTAATTTAATAAATTTTATTGCTTCAAAACGGTGTTACAAAGCGAGAGAGCAATCAAACCGTGAGTCATTTATGGAAGAGGCGGGGCATTTTTTTTAATAAAAGCGGAATTCTCAAGTGGCACATTTTTTAAAGCAAACGGAGACGTGAAAGTTGTGATATAACAGCTCGTTGCATTCCAAAATCGGAAGCTTATATTCGACTAGCTATCCGTGTTTTCAGGTTACGAGAAATTGCTGGGAATTCCACTCGTTACGTCATGTCACATACGGGGGTCGTACGAAAAGTTATAATACGGGGGTTATTCGGAAAGTTTGGGGAATGAATTTACTCATTTTCAATTATATCTATTTTGTTGAGGCCTTGGGCGGTGAGAAAATAGACTTCCAGTGAGATATATACAAGGGCGAGTCAAAAAGTAAACGTTGCTTTTGTTTAAAAATTGTTTTAGTTCCTATGAGAATACTTTTCTTGTATTCGCGTTTCTATAAATATATGCTAACGCATTTTTATAAATGCATACTTTAAATTTAAAATAGAAATCATATTTTTGCGATACCTATATCTCAAGTATTTCGAGATATTATATTTTAAACTTGCGCACTATTATTCAAATCTCAAATCTTGCGTAACGAGTAACTATTATGATCTTATTCCTAATTTTTGTATCCCATTTCAAAAATATTCAAAATGTAACGATCTTCGAGATATACAAATATCATTTTTTTAAATTATGCATAATAAACCTATATTTTCTTTTTGTAGGTAGGTACTGTTCCAAATGTGTGATATTTTAATGCATAATTTGCGATCGATTATAAGAAATTTATTGTTATTTATGCTACAAATGCCTTAACTTGATTATCTCGAAACTGGCTCGATTTTTTAAAATTAAACAAAACTTTTTATTTTACTGATAGTCTAGAGATCAATATTTTTTGAAGAATAAACAAAAATTAGTGTCCAGAAGCTTAAGTTTAAAATATGAATAAGATATCTCGAAAAAGCTTTCAGATATCGCGAAAGTATCTCTTTAAAAGGTATACCTCCCTTGTTATCCATTTTCAGAAAGAACTTGGTTCTAAAAGGTATCCTTATGGCTTGATGTATTATCCTTCCACAAAATATCTCGAGATAATCCAGAAATTGTTTTAGTGGTGCGAACAATGCTTGATCCAAGTTCAATCTGAGGTCAAACATTTTTGCACCCCATTTACCACTACAGGCGTCCTCAAAAAGTAATTAATTAGTAATTGTCGAAGCAACTTACCAGTAGCAGATATGAAGAAAATAAAATTTAATTTTTTTCTGACCACCCGGTATATTTTCAGCTCTGAAACCTCGAAATGGGCGGCGGTCTAAATTATAATAAAATTATGAAACTATCTAACGACCAAAGATTAAGTTCTTCCTACTTTATGCAATACACTGAATCTGTGGCACAATTTATATACCTTCTAATTTTTCGTAATAACTTACTGCTATTTAGATCCAGGCCAGGTGTGTTTTGTTCTTTACAAAATTATTAGTAGAGCAACAGGTGTTCAAATTATTAAACTACAACGCAATAAATTGCCAGTACAATTGTAAGCTCTTACATATTAACTATTGATGTAATTTTAAGGATATTTCTCTTGTTATGATTAAACAATTTCTTCGCTGAATTGATTATTTACATAAATACATCTTATGAGGTTACAAAGTATGTTCTTGCTAACAGCGTCATACAACGAAAAATCACTTAAAAATAAATGTAATCGTTTCCCTGTAGGAACTGTAACAACTTTAATGGTTATATGGATGTCAGTTCGTGATGACAGCGTCGTTTACAAAAAATTACCTAACAATAACGTTTTAAATGTGTACTACAAAATGATCCATACTTCTCAAACGGCCGTATAAATGACGGCATAATGACCTCAGTTGTTAACGACGTAGGCAGACCAAAAATTCATCTAAAAGTGACCTTTTCCCTATCCAATTTGTCTGGAACTGTCAAATTATCATAATGATGCAAGTTATTCATGATACGAGATCATACGACCAAAAATCGCCAAAAATGACCAATCAGCTGCTTCCCATTATTTAAAAAACCCTGAAACCACTGAGACCTCACGCTTGCTCGACATAGAAGATTCCGATCTGTTCAGCGTTCTGATTTCTGATCACGATCGCTTGTTTCGTTGCAGGGCAGCCTTGACTGCGGTGCGGTGTAGCAAGTGCTGACCTTGGCATAGAGACCGAACGATCTACTCTCGTTTTCTACTTCGTTCTCTCCTTTCTTATCATTCATCGCAATGGGTTCGCTTACCTCGACTGTTGCGAGTTTTTCTCGATACGCTTTTGCATTATTTCACGTATAAATAGAGTGTTAGATGTTTCAAACATCGAAGTAGGCCGTAGGTATATTTGGACGACATTTCTCGTGAAGCGTGTGTTTACTACGCTCGAGACAAAACACTACTATCACGCCCCCACGGAAACAAAACAATGCTCCCGAATTCTCGCCGCGTAACTCGTTCGTCCATTGTCATTCATAAACAATCGAACAGACGGCAATGACTTGCGGAATCTAGGAGGCTTTGCCCTCTAAATGAGACTACGTCTGGTTGGGTGTCTAGCCGTACTTACAGCCAGTGAACGGTAAAGCAGGTGCCTTTATTTGGCCTGGGGCTCGTCGATTAGCCGGCCTTGGCCCAAGATTTTTCTATTGTTGTCGCAAATCAGTGCGGAAAATGATGTATAGCTTTCAAATGGACGAGGATTTACAACAGAACCGTATTATTTTTGTTTCCAGAACGTTTTTATGTTAAATAACGTAAAAATGACGTTGTTTGACGTCTGTTTTTAGAGATAATGACGTCGCCCGACCAATAATCACCTAAAAATTACCATTTTGTCGACTTTGACACTTACCTATAGACGAACGGCCCGATTTCTTGCAGCTTTGGCTTCTCCCCTTGCGTTAGAAAACCATCCGGATTGGTGACGTTGAAGATGTAGACTTTGGTCAACCGGATCACGCCCGGCTTTTGCCAGTACTGAAAGCTCAGCGAACCATCTCTTAATTTTAAATTCTAGAAAATAAAACACTCAGTTTAAATCACCTTATAAGTTTGTGTTGCGGTAATATAATTGTGGTGAAAGCGACGATCCAATGAATTCAGATCTGGCCGACGAGAAGGACACTGGGATTTTATTGGACCGCTTTGATTTATCTGTATCCTTGTTTATATAAATAAGTTGGAAAACCAGTCGAACTTAGAAATCTACACAATAAAACACCTGTCATCTTTTTGGTTTTTCTTTCTAAATCGGCCAGGTTGTCTAACTACAGGGTAGCTATCTAAGTAAATTAGGCCCAAACAGTCTATTTTGAACATTGGTATCCTCATTAAAGATTTTGCAACATATTTTAGAATCACCCTATACAAGCTTTGTGACAAACTTTGATAAATGGTAGCTGGGTTAATTTCAAACATTTTTTCTTACATGAACATAGGTCCGATTCGTTTTTGTTTAGAAGTTACAAGCATTTTAAAATATATAATTTCATATTTCAATCAAAGTAACCTGATAAATAAAAATGATGGTTGATAATATAACAATAATTATTATTTGTGTCATTTTGTTTATTCATTTGACACTTGGTGTTAAAGTGCTAAATAAAAAATGTATTTATTTACAACTGAAGAGTATGCAGATATTGTCTTTGTACCTATATGGGTATTCCGAGGGGTATTCCAATTGGACGCCCGAGAATACCGACGAAGATAGCCAAATAAACAACTTACCCTCACAGTCTTTAGTGTATCATCTCGTAGACTCCGAAAAGAAGGCAACCTTGCTCCAAAAATCATATCTGGGCGTTACAAACGCATGCAATTAGATCAAGACGATTTCAGCAAAGTTTCAGTGTCGACGTTTGGGGTAGCATTTTCAACAATAATTTGCTGCCTGTATACAGGGTGGTCCGAATTTTATGCAGGAAACTTCGAGGACAGATACATCTTTTTAAAATAGTAGGTGTTTGTCTTATAAACGTAGGTCTGGAACGGCCTCGTTTTAGAGATACAGGGTGTTGAAGTTGTGAAAAAAATAACCCCCTTTTTTATAAAAAAACCTACACTACTGTAGTTTTTACAAGCTATTGTAACGAATTTATATTCTAATGCACAAAATACGTATAAAAGGTAATTTGAATTTTTTCCCTAAAGTTCACCGTTCTCAAGTTATTCATACCAATACAATCCCCTTGTGGCAGACACTTCTAACCATAATATTACAAGAATATTTAATGTTTATGCTTAAAAGTAAGTGCAATTTGTAAGCATCAACAAAATTCTTTACACTCATCGCTTTCATCTTTTTGGATTAAAACAATATTTGGAAAATCTCGACAAAGGAATGAAGGACACAGAAATGAAATTTTGAAAGCATTTGACGACAATCCTCGGCTAAGTAGGTTCACGAAGAACGTCTCGGCAACTTGGGGTGAGTACTTCCGGGAGATGCAGAGACGCCTGAATTTGTTGTTTGAATTCTTACTAGAAATACTTTGGACTGATGAGGCTAAGTTCACAAGGCGAAGGGTAGTGAATTTTCACAATCTGAATATTTGGTCACAAGAATATCCTCATGAAATTCGGAGTCATTTCTAAACTTTCTAGAAAACCATCTATTTGAATTATTAGAGGATGTTCCTTTAAATATACGACAAAATAGCTGGATATAAATGGATGGTGCTCCTGAGCATTTTAGGAGAATAATACAACGATGGCTTAATGAAAATTATATGAGATGGTGGATAGGTAGAAGACCAAATGCCAATGTCAACCATAATGGTGCAGAGGGTCCAGTGTCTTGGGCAGCCAGATCGCTAGATCTAAACTCCTTGGACTTCTATGTTAGGGGTGACTACCTGAAAAGTTTACTCCAATAGATACTAGACCACAACTGCAGCGAATAGAAGACGGATGTAATGAATTAAAAGAAAACTACCACATGATATTAGCTTCAATAGTTCCATTAATAGAAGATGTCAAAAATGTATCGATGTGGGTGGTTCGCATTTTAAACAATTGCTGTAAATACGTAACGTTAATTTCGTTTCTTGTTTAGTTGTTGTTGCTTGGTAAATGTATTTTTTATTATTATTTTGACTTAAATTGTTCTTATTTGTAAAGATAATGCCTCCAGAGAAAACTAAAACACACCAGGAACACTACCTCACAAGTAATGTGGAAAGAATTTTATTGATGTGCTTACAAATTGCACTTACTTTTAAGCATAAACATAAATATTTTTGAAATATTCTGATTTGAAGTGTCTGTCACAAGGGGATTGTATTTGTGTGAATAACTTGAAAATGGTGACCCTTAAGGAAAAAATTAAAGTCACCTTTTTTACATATTTAGTGCATTAGAATATAAATCCGTTACAATAACTTGTAAAAAATACTGTGGCGTAGGTTTTTTATATACAAAGGGTATACAAAGGGGGTGACCCCCTTCAGTTGTACACCACTAGTTAAACCCTTAGAGCTCATATTTTAGGGAATGCAAGGCCTACTATCGTACATTATTTGTACCAAATTTTATTAAGATCGGTTAAGAGATTTCGGAGATATAAACAAAACATCAATTTTTTTTAACAACTTCAACACCATGTATCTCTAAAACGGTGCCGTTCCAGACCTATGTTTATAATGCAAACACATATTATTTTAAAGAGATCTATCTGTCCTCGAAGTTTCCTGCATAAAATTCGGACCACCCTGTATGTTTCAAATGATCGTTTAAATGCAACTCTGTATAGAATTTCTTGGAAAACAATCTTTTTCTAAGCTACAGCTACCATCTGTCAAAGTTTGTCATAGAGCTTGTAGAACACCCTTTATATTATATACAGGGTTCTTCATGGTAAGTAGCCTCTTAAACGTTTCAGAGGACCCAAAGACAATATGACTGAAATTTTGTTTAGGTACCGGGGTTATCAGATATGTTCTCTTTAATGAAAATAATCTAGAATTTCATTTTCTATAATATGATGTAGAAAAATATAGTGTTCCATTTGAATTTAAAAAGTTTTGTCGGTTTTAAATTTTCAAAATATTTTCAAAATATAACGTGAAAAATGGAATACTTAGTATAATTTTTTTCAGGTAATTTTGATAGATGAAGGTAGTGCATCTTATGTTCTTCGTGAATTCCGAAAAGCAAGTGAAAGTTCCCAAAACGAAGAAGGATATAAGAAATATTCGAAACGTTTGCATCTGTCAAAATTTCTATAAAATGTTCATTATCTCGAAAACGGTTAGATTTAGGTTCAGATAAGTTTTAACATATTTTACTTATTTTCAATGTATCTTGTCGATAATGCAATAATATACAGGGTTATCCATTAACGGTATCGACCGGCTGTATACAGGGTGAGTCAAAATTCACTCCCCAGCGGCCGGATATATATTCTAAAATAAAAAATAAAACAAAAATGTAGAAGACTAAAATCTCGAAAGCGGAGCCGTTTTCGAATAAATTTTAGTTCGATAAATGGGCAATTTTCGACTGACTAATCAAGTTGGCCGGACAAAAACTGAATGGTGAAAATTACAGTAATTTTTGCGAGAACATTTTGCCAGATTTGTTAGAAAATATTTCTCTACAACAACGTGCAACATATTTTGAACCGCCGTTTTCCTAATAAATGGATTGGACGAGGTGGACCAACACCATGGCCACCCCGGTCTCCTGATTTGATTCCGATAGATTTTTGGTTATGGGAATATAGAAAAGAAAAGGTTTATGTTACTGTGCTTGTTGGCGGGGATGATGTTATTGGTAGGAATCATGAAGCAGTAGCGAAAATTAATGAAGCTAATTTCTGTTCTATTGCCAGGAGTTTTTACCACAGATTGCAGAAGTATATTAACGAAAATGGTAATGTTTTTGAAGGTTAGCCAAAGCCAGAAGGATCTTCGTTTTTGTTATTTCTTATTTTGTANTATCGACCAGCTGTATACAGGGTGAGTCAAAATTCACTCCCCAGCGGCCGGATATATATTCTAAAATAAAACAAAAATGTAGAATACTAAAATCTCGAAAGCGGAGCCGTTTTCGAATATATTTTAGTTCGATAAATGCGCAATTTTCGACTGACTAATCAAGTTGGCCGGACAAAAACTGAAAGGTGAAAATTACAGTAATTTTTGCGAGAACATTTTGCCAGGTTTGTTAGAAAATATTTCTCTACAACAACGTGCAACGTGCTAATAAATGGATTGGACGAGGTGGACCAACACCATCGCCACCCCGGTCTCCTGACTTGATTCCGATAGACTTTTGGTTATGGGAATATAGAAAAGAAAAGGTTTATGTTACTGTGCCTGTTGGCGGGAATGATGTTATTGGTAGGATTCATGAAGCAGTAGCGGAAATAAATGAAGCTAATTTCTGTTCTATTGCCAGGAGTTTTTACCACAGATTGCAGAAGTATATTAACGAAAATGGTAATGTTTTTGAAGGTTAGCCAAAGCCAGAAGGATCTTCGTTTTTGTTATTTCTTATTTTAATGGAGTTAATATTAAACAAAAAAATTATAAATTTGAAGTTTTCTCTACAAAATTTTCCGAAAACGGCTTCGTTTTCGAGATTTTAGTATTCTACATTTTTGTTTAATTTTTTATTTTAGAATATAATATATCCGGCCGCTGGGGAGTGAATTTTGACTCACCCTGTATATGAAACTAGACGTGCTACCATTATGGGGTAAAAAATCTACTAACAAATACGACCAAAAGAAAAAGTTTGTAATTTCACCGCTAGAGGGCGCAACTGCTATTGTGTTACAGGAAATTGTCCGATTTTCGAAATTTCGCTTATATAACCTAAGTTGTAAATACATTTTTTAGATACATTGTTAAACCCTTCACAAGTTTTGTTTGAACTATTTTTTTTTGTTATTACCATAGCAACGTCAGTATGAAGGAAATTGTCATATTTTAATAAACGACGGCTCATTTTAAAGAACTATTAATAAAATTTATTTTTATGATATAGGAATGAAAATATTATTTTTCTGCGCAACGGTAGACGACGCTAATGAGAAAAGTTTTGTAATTGTCTCCGTTTACTAAAAAAATTAAATGCAACGATATAAGTTTTTTTTCATGGCTTGATAGACCATTCATTATAGAAAACAAATACACAAACTGGAGGTCGATATCATTTTTCGTTTGCATGTTAATGGTAAAATAGTGAACAGATGCTAGAACATCATTCTTTATTTAGTTCTCTAAATAATATTGACATAGTCCAAGCCAAAATAATTAAATTGTAAAACTATACCAATCTTGTCCTTAAAGAGAATTATTGCTTTATTTTGAAATTTTTTTTGATAACTGCAATATTTCATTCTTTTAGTAAACGGAGACAATTACAAAACTTTTCTCATTAGCATCGTTTATTGAAATCGATTAAGGCATTTAGAAGTTATGACAATTTAAAAATTTCAAGATAGCTTCTTCCGGTATAACCGGAAGTGCTACCTTGATGGTATTATTTTCATTGGTGATATCATATTTTATAACCCCCCAAAAAAAATTTTCAGAGTCATATTGTCTTTGGTTCCTCTGAAACGTTTAATAGGCCACTTACCATGAAGAATCCTGTATAAATAAGGACTACATACAGGGTGTAACGGATGCTGATGGCCAAACTTCAGGGGGTTATTATATAAGTAATTTTCAACAAAAAAGTAATATAAGATTTTTTTGGAATGTTGATAGTTGCTCTTTTATTTAACATTTTTTGATTTCAAAAAATTTTGCTCCTTTTTTCATAAAAACAAAAACATCTCTGTTATTCTTACAGCCACATCAAATTTAGACATAACATCGGAAAGAGCATTAAATTTACTACAAGACGAGCATATATGAGTGTTTAAAAAATCTTCTATACCAGGTGCTGTAAAAAGTTAAATGTAATAATTGTGAAATGAGCAAAATTAGTGGTATCTCCTTATTGGTGATAACGCCAAAAATTTGTTAATGAGGACGTGTTTTTTCTTCAGCAAAAACTACTGTATTTAGTAAGCTCTTCAACGATATATCAACTTTTGAGTTTACTATTTTTTTTTGGCAACAATATCAAGGGCAAAGGTAATAAACACCGTAAAAATCGAAAATACACAAACTTTATAGTACTTTATTTTTATTTTAAGACTGCTTTTTTAAATTAAAGTAACAAAATTGTTGAAAAAATTATTTATAACTTAGTAACATATTTACAATGACTTAATAATTTTCGATGTAACCTCCCCCTTGACGGATACATAAAGCGCACCTTCTCCGCACGGAAGCAACTGTGCGACGCACTTCTCCATTTTGCTGTCGAAGTAGCTCCCAACAAGCAAAAATCCTTTGTTCGAGCTGTTCTCGAGTTTCAATTGGTACTTCATATACCAAAGATTTTAATCTACCCCACCAAAAGAAGTCTAACGGAGTTAGATCAGGACTTCGAGGAGGCCACCTAACTGTACCAAAGCGTCCTATCCATCTATCTNAGACGATGTTAATGAGAAAAGTTTTGTAATTGTCTCCGTTTACTAAAAAAATTAAATGCAACGATATAAGTTTTTTTTCATGGCTTGATAGACCATTCATTATAGAAAACAAATACACAAACTGGAGGTCGATATCTTTTTTCGTTTGCAAGTTAATGGTAAAATAGTGAACAGATGCTAGAACATCATTCTTTATTTAGTTCTCTAAATAATATTGACATAGTCCAATCCAAAATAATTAAATTGTAAAACTATACCAATCTTGTCCTTAAAGAGAATTATTGCTTTATTTTAAAATTTTTTTTGATAACTGCAATATTTCATTCTTTTAGTAAACGGAGACAATTACAAGACTTTTCTCATTAGCATCGTTTATTAAAATCGATTAAGGCATTTAGAAGTTATGACAATTTAAAAATTTCAAGATAGCTTCTTCCGGTATAACCGGAAGTGCTACCTTGATGGTATTATTTTTATTGGTGATATCATATTTTATAACCCCAAAAAAAAATTTCAGAGTCATATTGTTTTTGGTTCCTCTGAAACGTTTAATAGGCCACTTACCGTGAAGAACCCTGTATAAACAGGGACTACATATATCTATTCTAGGTACTTACCTTTAAAATAATATAATCTAACCACGGTATCGATGACAAAATTATGCCTACTGCTAACGTGAACAGTCCTATCATAATAACTGCCAGCCGACCTAAAAAAAGAACATTTTTACTTGGATTTATCAAAGGTCTATAGGTCGAAAGGCTGGGAAGGCTTTTTTTGAGTTCAAGTGTTTTCCGATTTAATTTATACACCATTGGAACAAGTAAACTTTAATTGGTAATATTTTGGTATGTCCAAATAAACCAATATTTTCAGTTAACATACCTGTATAGTATTGAGTAAGAAAAAGGATATCAAAGACATGTCGAAATGGCTTTTTTGCACATTTATCATTGAATACCTCAGACCATTTTTAGGGACAGATCTGGATGCAAGGCGAAAACTTATATCAGGAAACACTATCATACTCAAATCGGATGGTGTTGTGTTATGTACCAAGGAATAGAATTATCAGAACTTTCAGTATATCCATCCTGTACAAAAATTTCGATACAATTAGAAAAAAAACTTCTTAGGTTAGGTTAGTATGTATATATTTACAAATAAGGCGAAATACCTGTGTATTGAAACAGATAATGATTAAAGGCGTAGTGTAACAATTGTTTCAGCATTATTTTTTATGAATTCCTTGCACTATGCTCACAGGTTTTTGTTTCATAGTCCCACACAGTAACACTTCACCGCTACTGATACAGAAAACAGTTTCTTATCACGACAAATACGTACCGGGTGTAGCTTATAAATATAAAACATATAATGGAAGAAATAATTTTTCGTTTTAATAAAAAAATTGAAAGCAAGCCTTGGCAAGCTTTAAACATTTATTTGTTTGAACGCACTCTGATCTACTATCGAAATAAATGAAAGTAAAATGAAAATAAATGAATCCTGAGTTTGGAATAGCATATTAAGAAAACGTAAGGGCAAAAAAAATTGAAATTTTGACCATATACTCACCATTACTCTATTGTGTGCTAAAATTTCAGTTAGTTTCGTTATCCCATTTTTTAGTTATTAATGAAAATGTTGAAAAAATCACGGTTTTCTGCCTACAAAATTGATACCTCTCACTTTAACTCGTCGTAATTTTTTTGTTAATTGATAAAAAAATTCCAAATTTTTACCGACGATAAGTCGAACTATTGTTTTTACTACCGTGAACGTATTACAAACAGCTCTCCTTTTTTTATTTTTAAGCAAAACAGAAGGGAGTGCTATCTCCGTAAATATTGCATTCTTTAAAAAAATTAAAAAACTGACTCGAGTAGTAAATAATTGTAAACAACAATCTGAAAAAATTTGTTGAAATAATACAGTTATAAAGGCTATACTGTATACCAGGGGTCGGCAACCTATGACCCCCGGGTCACCGAGTGACCCATTTACTAATTTTAAGTGACCCACTTTATTTCCTAAAATAAGTATAATATATAAAAATAAATTATAAAATAAACATGAAACGAATATTTTGAGAATAAAAAAAAAATTGAAAATAGATGCTTTGTTTTTGCGCGCACGTCAATCTTGAAATAACCTCTTTTTTGCTTTTTGTTTGTTCCTGGCAATATATTTTTTTAAATAATAATAATTATTTCACTTAGGTAACTGCTAAATGTTTCTTTTTATAATAATTAGAATTTTATTAGTTTTTATAATAATAATTAAAGTTTAAAAGCGTATCGTAATTATTTTCTTAATAAAATGTATCTTATTATTCACTAAAAGACTGTTTTTAAATGAAAATATCACTGACCCAAACGTCCATTTAATATTCACACTGTGGTTGATTTTAACCCGCAACCAAAAAAGGTTGCCGACCCCTGCTGTATACCCTGCATCGGACCGTGAACGTAATTGACCATTCCGATACTGTTTTTAAGAATATCATATTTATAACGGTATTATTTTAACAAATTTTTTCAGATTTTTGTTTATAGTTATATTTACTACCTGTCAGTGTTTTTCTTTTTTTGAAGAACACAATATTAATGGAAATAGCACTCCCTTCTGTTTTGCTTAAAAATAAAAAAGAGCTTTTGAGAAAAATGACCTTCACAGTACTAAGGACAATAGTTCGCCTTATCATCAGTAAAAATTTGGAATTTTTTTATCAATTAACAAAAAAATTCCGACAAGTTAAAGTGAGAGGTATCAATTTGGCAGGCAGAAAACCGTGACTTTTTTTTAACATTTTCATTAATAACTAAAAAATGGGATAACGAAATTAACTGAAATTTTAGCACACAATAGAGTAATAGTGAGGCTGTATAAGGTCCAAATTTCAAATTTTTTTGCCCTTACGTTTTCTTTTTCCAAACTCATGGTTCTAGTTCATTTATTTCGATAGAAGTCAGTAATAAAAAGTACAATGGGTTTTTAATTCCATGTTCCATTGATTAGTTCGAGATTATTCGTTCGTTTCTGAATTTTCAAATTAATAGTAATCGATTATAACTGAAAAAACAAAGCAGGTTTGTCTTATTAAAATATTAAGTATAAATAATACAAACATTAATATGCTAACGCTAATTTTATGTAGGCATAATAATAAAGACACTTTTAATAAGGATAATAAACTGAAGAATGTGCAAAACTGCTAATTACAATTTATTTACTTTGTAAATTTAGTCGTGTCCGTATTTTGTTAGGATTTTCCAAGGCAAGCGTGTGGGACTACGAAACAGTATTTTAAATTAGTTTTTTTCTGCGAATTATCAAAACGTTTTAACAGCGGTTCATCAGCGAGATGCTCGTAAAGTTTCCGTCGTTGTTTCGGAATTATTTCTACTCATCAGCACTTATGTTGAAACGCATGCCAGTAATATTTCGTAAAAAAAAATTATGAAAACAATAATCCATGTATTAGTTGCCCAACCAAATAGAAGAATATTCGGCTATGTGCAGTCTATTTCATCCTACACGCACAGGCGAGTTTACGAAATCGTTTCGGGATTTGCCAAGAATTTATGGCATTGTGTAAACCGTTAATTGCCAGCTAATTTTAATGTATGTATTTTCCTTTACGAATGCGAGAGGCATGGTGAAATCTCGTTTTAATTAAATTAAAAAAGTTTTCTTCGGCTTCTGAGTAGATAATTTCAAATAATTCTACAGTTTGAGGAGAAGCAATTTTGAATTTACCGCCATGTTTTTTAAGCGGTGACAAAATTTTGACTTCTTAAGATGACAAAAAAATTCCGACAGCTGTTTGTAAAAATTGCTTAAAGAAAATCTGTTATACATTCTTGAGATTAAAACAAGACGTCTCGTCGCATACAGGGTGCCTCTAAAATCACTCAACTAATTTTGATAGAAAACATAGATTTTTGATTAAAAATTGTAAATTTTTTATTGATTCATAAAGTACACAGTAGGTATAGGGTAATGTATGGAATAGGATATTGGCTAAATGGTGTCCATGGCTTTGTTGGCAGATACGCACTCTTTTATCGAAATTTTCCTTGACCGTTTTACATAAATGCCGCTGAATTTCCTTGATAGATCGCTCAATTTCCTCCTTTAAGACATGGGTGGTCGTGGGCTTGTTGGCACTAAAACGGGAAATTACACTACCTGGAAATTACTTTCGTAGTTATTGAATTGTTTCTCGGGGGGTATGGTATGTGGCACCGTTTTGTTCAAACCACATATCGTCTACATTCATATCTTGCAATTTAGGCATAAAAAACTGTCGCGATAGCGACCACTATTAACTGTTATTGCCTGACCAGACATATTTTCGAAAAAGAATTGTGCGATGATGCCTCCAGCTCAAAATCCACAAAAATCCGTTTGTGTCCCAAACGGTGACACGTTATGGATGTATTTGCTTCTCAACAATCACTCAATAATTCTGTCAAAATTACAATGAACCTCATCGCTGAAGATGATTTTGTTCGAAAAATCAGCATCCACTTGTTCCATTATCCATTCAACAAACTCTCTTCGCTCTGCGTGGTCAGTAAGCTTCAGTTTTTGAGTCAATTGAACTTTGTAAGCACAAAGATACAAATTTTTGTGAGAATACGCTGTAGAGAGCTTCTCGAAATGTCCAATTCTTGACCACGGTGCCGAATTGATGTTCCTGGACTCTCAGCAACACCCTCACAAACTTTTTCTGTCTTTTTTTTTTCATTGGCAACACTTTACCGCACAAATGGCGCAAAATTCAAATNTTTGATAGAAAACATAGGTTTTTGATTAAAAATTGTAAATTTTTTATTGATTAATACAGTACACAGTAGGTATATGGTAATGTATGGAATAGCATATCGGCTAAATGGTGTCCATGGCTTTGTTGGCAGATACGCACTCTTTTATCGAAATTTTCCTTGACCGTTTTACATAAATGCCGCTGAATTTCCTTGATAGATCGCTCAATTTCCTCCTTTAAGACATGGGTGGTCGTGGGCTTGTTAGCACCAAAACGGGAAATTACACTACCTGGAAATTACTTTCGCAGTTATTGAATTGTTTCTCGGGGGGTATGGTATGTGGCACCGTTTTGTTCAAACCACATATCGTCTACATTCATATCTTGCAATTTAGGCATAAAAAACTGTCGCGATAGCGACCACTATTAACTGTTATTGCCTGACCAGACATATTTTCGAAAAAGAATTGTGCGATGATGCCTCCAGCTCAAAATCCACAAAAATCCGTTTGTGTCCCAAACGGTGACACGTTATGGATGTATTTGCTTCTCAACAATCACTCAATAATTCTGTCAAAATTACAATGAACCTCATCGCTGAAGATGATTTTGTTCGAAAAATCAGCATCCACTTGTTCCATTATCCATTCAACAAACTCTCTTCGCTCTGCGTGGTCAGTAAGCTTCAGTTTTTGAGTCAATTGAACTTTGTAAGCACAAAAATACAAATTTTTGTGAGAATACGCTGTAGAGAGCTTCTCGAAATGTCCAATTCTTGACCACGGTGCCGAATTGATGTTCCTGGACTCTCAGCAACACCCTCACAAACTTTTTCTGTCTTTTTTTTTTTCATTGGCAACACTTTACCGCACAAATGGCGCAAAATTCAAATTTTGCGTGAATTTTGGGGCAGCTGATATTATCCGCAGAGTAGT